TCAAACTTTGCACGTACAAATATTTTTGTCTGTATAAGTTGAAATATGAAAATAGAATACTTCGGTCCGCTAGATCTGTTACCTCACACATATTTAAACATTTTCCCAAAAATTGCACATATCTCATATAAAGTATAGGAAGTAGTCGACAATAGTCTAAATCTAACACGTGGTAATATTTATATCAGTCTTAGGTCAGATACTAATTGGTCAATATTGGCCAACTGCTTACGAACCTCCCTCATGAAAGGTCAACAGTTAGAATAATCATAACTCACAGCTGTGTGTATACATCTGTTGGCAAAACAGACTGATATTATTTAACTTATTTTGGTATTATTTAAACGTTGTTGGACAAAATTGAATTGAAGTATGCATTTCAAATTATAACCTTATTTTTTTCCAAAAAAATTATTGTGTACATTTTCACATGTTCCCTTAGCCCACACTGTTCCCAGGATATTTGATGATAGATATAAATATTCTTTCAAAGCCACAATTTCTATCTACCACTACTAAAAACCTTGGAAAACTTTCTCCATTCATTAAATAATAATTGTTAGATTCCAATAATTAGAAAATATTTGTTAAGCACTTCAATTTGTATTCCCTCTGCAATATTTTCAATTATATTCTGTATTTCAATTATGGCAAATAAAGAATGCATTTCATCTTCAATGAATCATTCGTTGAATGATGTGTTATTGTATCAAATAAAAAAATAAGGAAAAAAATGTTACAAAATCATATTTTATATTTACATTGAATAACACAAATTGTATCTGAGCTAAAAATAATAATTGCAATATAACCAAATACTTCAAAATTGAAATCACACACACACACACACACACACAGATGCTCACTTGATTTCCTTTCTCGCCACGCTTCGTTGCATAGATTGATTGTTATTGAGTGTCAAGAAATATCGATGGAGCAGGAAAAGAAAAATAACGGGGGAAAAGAAAAACATAACCGTTTTATTATGTCATCAAATAAATAATAAAAACTCTTCATGCCGATTAAACATCCGAGAGATTTATTTGCACTTTACAGCGTTTCGCTAGACAGGAGTCACACAGACTCACCACTCAATCTCAATGGTGGCAGGGTGTTTTATATTGTCATTTATCACTGCGACAGAGATAACCGAGGATAAATGTCCTTATATCTCCCCTCTTGCCATCTCCTCAGATTCGATTGCGAATCTCTTCTCGGCAATTGGTTGCAAAAAGTAACGGCGCTGACATTTGTATCCAATATTTGCAATCTAAAAAATGGTTATTGTAAATAACATCCGCAAAACGCTGGCACGACGACGAAGCAAAAGTTGGAGATCAAGTGTCGTCTTGCACAAACATCCTTACCATCCACCCCACCGACAATTCTGACATTTTTCTATTCCTTCCTCTAGCTCCATCTCCGCCCCGAGTGAAGTATAAACAACTGCAAAAAGTATCCATGTCTCTGGGGCAGGAATGTGATTTTATTTCTCCTGCCATTCATGAATATTTTGTGGATTATTTTGTTTTAATTTTTACGAGCAGGAATTTTCAGAAAAAGAATTTTGTGCTTTGTTTGCAATAAAGTTTGGGCTTTTGGAAGCAAATAAAAATGCTAACAAATGGTGAGAGAAGCCAATGTCATAACATGACGACATTCTCTGTTGTTAAGGAAGACATTTTCCACAGTTGTTTTTTTTCGAGCAGAGTATTTTGGCAGTTGCAACAAATGGAAAGTTTGGGATTTTTCGAATTTTTTATTTTGACTGAAATAATAATCTATGTATTATGTTATTTTTGTTGCCTCTTCAAAGTAGATTCATTCATGACCACGGCGTATACAGTAAAACAGATTGTAACATCCTTAACTACTATCATTATGATTTGAACGTATTCCTCGTAACTGAGTCGATCTAGCCGTGTCCATCCAAATGCCTGGAGGGGATGGTATTCGGAGTGGATCAACCCAAGACGATTTTGGTTTCCAAAGGCAAATTTTTTCAGGGACCATTATATATGCATTCTTACATACACAAAGAGCCTAACTTATTTTGTTTTATGCTTCGCTAAATTTAAGATAGAGCTTTTCAATTTTATACAGAGTCATCATACAAAATATGGATCATTGCGGTCCGTTTGGTTCTAGCCCCCATATGAGGGCATATCCCGATTTCAAGTATTTTTTATATTTTAGCCTTGTGTACCCTTCCCCATATAATTGAGGGTATATTAACGTTCGTTCCGTTGTAACTCGTCGAAGTACTCGTACCCATGTCAGACCCAACCGTCTGTCTGTTGTAATCATACTATCTTTTGAACGAATTGAGAAGGCTAAAATTTCGCACACATGTGTATTTTGCCAGTAGGCAGATTAAGTAAATAAATGGATCATATAGGTCCACGTTTTCGTATAGTCCCTATATAACGGTACCTCCCAATATTCGGTATTTTTATGGTATAAGAGACATTATTGAACGAAATTTTTTCAAATTGGTACTACAGCCTCTAACAAAAAATTGCGTATGTATGTCTACGTCTTCATATGGCCACCATACAACGATACCTGCCGATATTGGGTAGTTTGACGATTTTAAGGTCGTTATTCGTCGTAATTGTTTCACATTTCGTATTTTAAGTTCGTAATGAATACTTCAACCTATGACAGAAAATTGTCTATGCAGGTCCACGTCTTCGTGTACTCTACATGTAACGCTACCTCCCTTTTTCGGTATTTTGATGATATAAGCGACATTATTCAACGGAATTGTTTTAAATTTCGTATTTGAAGGTCCTAATGGGCACTAAAGCCTAATTGTCTTCGTATAGCTTCCGTATAATGATGTTAGTTGAAACGGTATTTTTCTACGAACATTTTTGCAAGTTTCTTTCCAAATTTTGGAGGGTATTAAAAGTTCGACCCTGCCGAACTTAGGTATTTTTTAGTTGTTCATACTTATTTGGACAAATTTTGGTAATTTGAGATATAATAGCTATTTCCGGGGTCTTGGCTACATTTGTCAATCGATTTGACTCTTATTTGTCATTTTAGTTTTTAAGGTGGTAGAATGAGGTAGCGCCCACATAAAGGTACCCCCTGATTTTACTTTTTCCTAAGTACTACATTGTACTTAGAAAAATATCTTTCAGAAAAATTTCAACATAAATACGTAATTTGGCATAGTCCCGTAAAACGGCGACTCTCAGCTCTACGTTCCCAACAAATATTTTCTGGGCGTTGAGAATTTTTAATTGGAGGAAATCGTATTGGGTAATAAGAACAAATTTCTTAATTAATTTTCCAAAACGTGGACCGACATCACACATATTATACACAAATGGTTCTACATGTAATCCATAGACCTGTATCAAATTTAAAAGCTCTATCTTCAAATTTGGCAAAGTATTGAGCAAAATATTTGAGGTATAAAAAAAAAATTTCAGGCTGGGAACTCAAACTCCTTTTTGGGATTTTGATCTTGGAATTGTTGTCTAAATTCTTCACACCTTTATGGGTTTTATACATAAAACACATTCTGTGCACACATTTCCAACATAACTTTATTGTTTAATTCTACACACCCACACTGAGTTTTATTCCAAAACTCATAATTTCACTTCTATCATACACACTATATCAATTTGGTATCAGCTTGTACTTTTCTTAAACTTTTCGTAATTCGTATCATTTCTGAATCCATCTCTATGTCAAAATGTTACACACTCTAATAGAAAGACTCATATTCCAGCTGTATTCCTACACTCCATACTCAATTTAGTACTTTTCGTACACTATATAGCACGCGTTTCTAAAATAGCACGAATATTTAAAATCCGCTGTGATCCGTATCTCCAAATTTCACACATCCAAATATATTTTCTTACACAAGATCTGTTGTGAAGATGATATATATCTTCTGGTACCCCACCTTGTGGGGGCACAATTTCTATATTTATATCTGTCATAACTTGCGAAACAATTCGGCGATTTTTACCACTTGCAATATCTAAATATTTCTCTTAACCATAAATCTCATATGAATATGTAATTTATCGGAATTTATGATTTGGCATAAAATTGGATATAAATGTTCGATTTTCTTCAAATTTTGCACATACCAATATTTTGATCTGTGTTAGATGTAGTATTAAAATAAAATAGTTCGGACCGCTATATCTGGCACCTCACGCATATTTCCACATTTTCAAAAAATGTGCACATATCTCATATAAAGTATAGGAAGTAGTAGATATATAGTAACATTTGGCACGTTGTAATATTTATATCAGTCTTAGGTCAGATACTAAATTTTCAGTATTGGACAACTGCTTCGAAACCTCCCCCCTAAAGGTCAACAGTTTGAATAATCATAACTCAAGGCTGGGGGTATACACCTATCGACAAAACCTACTAATACTATTTTACTTCTATTTTAAATCTGTTGATATTTTAATATCGTTCCCATTTTCCTTCATTGGGATGTACATTTTGCAGTTATAGCTATAATTCACCAATATATGTTTCATTCCATTTTTAATTAAAGCCATCTCAAAGCCATAACATGTCCTCTATAACTGTAATATTTGGCACGAGAGACTACATGCAATATACATAAACATATCATATACGACCTTTGAAAATTTTTTTGAGCGGATGTAAACTTTGCAGACATAGCTATAATCCACCTATACATGTTTTATTCGATTTTTATTTGAAGCCATCCAAAGCCATAACTTGCTCTCTATTACAATGATATTTGGTACGATAGACTATATGCAACAGACGTATGCCTCCGTAAAATTAAGATATAACTCCCATATATTTAAATATTAAACTCCTTTGAGCCGTAATGTGGATTTGGTTAATAACTTCTCATTTACTTGTAATAGACACCTCTTTCGCTTTCGTTGCTTAACATTTGGCGCTATTTTAATATTTATGCTATATATTTGAATTATTGTTAAAAAATTAGGTAAAATTATTTATTTTATTCTTTTCAGAAAACTTCAATTCATAACAATTAATTGCGGATATAAATACGAATAATCGGCCTTCTCCATGTTGGGCAAATTCACATCCAACCATGTCCAGGTTTATCATCAGTATTCACGTACTGTCTCATTGAAGAAACCGAAGAAGGTAAGTACGGTTGTTCATTCTCCAACTAACTAGTATTCTCTGCTTGGACATAAGCAGAACAATGGTGTTAATGTCTTACAAGGGAAATTGATTTCCATTAAACCGTCTGTTGTCATTATGATTTATGTTTTTCGTTTTGGTCGGTCGTTGATACCCCAATTAATAACTAGCTAACTATTGTCCAATTTTTATTTACTCATAAATTGTTTTTGTTGTGTCATAAACAAATTATTTCTGTTGATCATTATGTGTTCCATTATGTGTTCCATTCCAAAAGGAAAACCTTTGTCTTCAGCAAGGATTAACAATGAAACCATTTATTTGTCGTATTGTTTTGTCAGCCAACGGTGTTTTGTCTTTAGTTGCCCACTTCTGGGGGACACAAAAACAAAAGGGAAAGAGGAAATATTTCCCCACTCCCATCACATTTTCCACAGTTCTGTCCTGTCATGATTTTGTGGTGTTGGTTCGGGGGGTGGAAATTATAATATTCTTGTCCATTAATCACATTCAAATGCAAGAAAATAGCCACACCATCTTTGATGGCTGTGCTGGACGTGATACCTAACTACCTACCTACCTGCCATCGATGAACTATTCAATTTACTTCGATAATTTATTAAAATTAGTAGTAGAGCAACCGACCAACTAACCAACCAACCATTTATTAAAACGCTTAATGCGGGTGTGCGGTGTGTTTAAGTGAAAAATAATTGCATTTCTCTGTCAGTGAAGAAATGAATGAGTTAAAGACAACCCTGATGAAGGCATTACAAAGGAAGTGTCGATTATAGTAATTGTACAAAGTGTGAACCAATGTGTATTTTTCATAGAAACGGGTGAAGTGTTGAATATAGAATCAAATTGGTATTATATATCCACATAAGGACATAGAAAAGAGTACATAAAGGAAATATATGTTTATTTCCCTAATTTTCGAGAATGTTGATCCAAAATTATCTTACTTCTTATAACATTAGATAAATTTTGTAATTTATACATTATTTACAATATTTATACATTATTACAATTTAGACTTTGAGACTTCCATATATCAATAGAGGGGTTTGAAACATAATCAATCCATAGAAAATGTCAATTGCAGAATTAACAAATACAAGTTAGAAAGTTTCAATAAAGTTTTCAGAAAAAACAAATATTTCAGAAAAATTCATGAAATATTTATTTGAATTCATATAACTTAATATTTGAATATTATTTCTTGCAGAAGTTGACCGCGACAGAATCTCAAACTGTCCATCCGCTTAGTTCAATTGTGGCATGATCTTTCAAACATTTCCACCGGAATCTAACGAATAAATACTTCAATGTTGTTTTCCAATGCGGTAATTGAAGCGGACACGTCACAAGAAAAAAAAATGGTCTAAAGTCGTTAAAATGCTTGATCTGGGCGGCCAGCTTACCAGACCTGAGAGTCAATTCTTGCTCGTTCTTCGTGACGTGTGTCAACGTTTTATTAAAACCACAAGTCATATAAGTCAAGCTTTTGTATTTCGGGCAAAAGAGTTTTAGATCATCTCACGGTGGCGTAAACCATCTACAGTTGCGTTACAATTTTGAAGAAGTGTAATCGAAGGACATCACCAGCCCAAAATCGCACCAAACTGTGACTTTTTCTGGATGTATGTATTGCTTCTGGCAGTTCTTCACTTCACTTCGTCGCTAAACACAAGAAACTCGCTATAAACTGTCCAAAGACAGCTCTCATTTTTATACCTTCAACCATATGGCTGAAATAATGGTTTTCGACCCTGTGTCTCCTTGGACCAAATCCGTTTCAGGACATGTGGAGTCAATCTAGTGATGTCCATCCGTCTGGCTGGCTGTCTGGTGCGCACGATAACCGATTTGGTCCAAACTTGGTACATCGTAATATTTTTGTAAAACTTAGTTCGAATTTGGAGATGGGAAATATCGGTCCACTCCTTCTGGTACCTCCCCCACAAAAGATAGAAATTTTCAAAAATATATTTTCTGCACAGGAAGAGAAACGTTAATTTTATTTTGCTCCAACTTTGCAAATCCTAATATTGACATCAGTCCTACGTCAGGTGCGAAAATGGCCTAAAGATTGTAAAAGAGTCCGATTGTCTTCACCATGGTCTGGTCTTAAGATAGAAGACATCGGTCCACTTCATCAAGTGCTTCACCCACAAAGGTCGAAATTTGAATATCCATTAAGCTCATAAAACGCGAAATTAACATCCGATTCCATTGGCACATCTCAATATTTCCATCAACTCAGGATCTGGTATAAAAACGGTAGAAATCGTACTATTCCTTCTGGTACCTCCCCTGCAAATGGTCAACATTTTGAATATCCATGAAGGTCAAAAAACCCAGAATACGCATCAGGCTCTCTTTATATTTCACACATCCCATTATTTCTTCTAACACAAGATCTGTTATGAATATGGAATATATCGGTCCACTCCCTCTGGTACCTCCCCCACAAAGGATCAATATTTTGAATATCCACGAAGCTCATAAAAACCGAATTTAACATCCGATTCCATTCCAGACTACATCTCAATATTTCTATCAACACAAGATCTGTTATAAAAATGGTAGAGATCGGACCATTTCTTCTTGTACCTCCCCCACATAGGATTCCAGGTTTTTGAAAAACAAAACGCTCAAAGAAAGCTAAGTAAGCATCTAACTCTCTTCAAATTTCACACATACCAACATTTTTGCTAACACAAGATCTGTTGTGAAGATATATTTGCGAACCCCTTCTGGTACCTCACTCACAAAGGGACACAATTTTCAATACTTTTATCTGTCATAACTTGCGAATACCTTGTCCATACCAATATTTTTATCTGTATTAGATGAGGTATGAAAATGGAATACTTCGGTCAACTATATCTGGTACCTCACGCACATTTTCTAAAAATGATCAAAAAAAATATAGTCCAAGCCTGGCATGTCGCAATATTTATATCAAATTTATTTCTTCCCCATAGAGGGTCAACAATTTGAATATTCATAACATAACACTAAATACATTTTGTTATTGCAAAATGGTCAGGCTTAATCCCTTTTATTGTTGTTTTTATAGAAACAACGTTTGTTTATTAGTGGAGAACGATGGTAATTTTTACCAGGGGGTAAGGCAGGAAATACCTAGGTTTCGGAAAGAGCCACCAATCCTCATCAGTTCCCAATCCTCATCAGTTCCCTTGTGTTTTTCCCTTGTGTTTTTGGGTAAAATTTTTTTTTTGTCATAGAAGTTATTTTTAAAATAACTTCTGAGGAGAATATCAAATAGTTAAAAAATATCCATTTGCTTACAAAATATGTTACCTTAATTGACTCTGAACAGCATAACGGTTTGGGAATATGAGATGTTGGTGGCTCGAAATTCGAATAACAAATGAAATAATTTGAAACTCATATGGAATTTAACGAATTACATTGGGAGTTTCAGAAACACAAATTACATCTGAAACCAATGTAGGTAATATATAATATTTTCTTTTAAAATCAAAACCCTGCTTCGACTTTCAATCTCTTTCATCGGATCCTACCATTTTTATTTTTTTTAAAATCATCGTATCTACGTTACTAAATTAGCATTTTTTATATGAAAATTCTCAAAATAAATTTAAATGAATGACACACGATTTAGACGAAAATAAGGGGAACTTATAACTCCCACACTTTCCTCCAAGATAACATACATATTCTTTTTTGTGCGACACCTGACAAAACAATTCGAAATATGGTATTTTTTTGTTGTTCAACATTTTTTATTGAATCGTGAACTATGGAACATTTTTTCAGTTGAATTAGATTTCCTCGTTTAACGATATTTTCCTCTTGCATGTTTTTTTTCTTCTATTATTTATTTTGATTTTGGTAAGCCAAGATGATGTATAAACGACAACAGCGGAAGAGAAATGGATTTCAATGGCCTTAGCCAGGTTTCAGTAGTGCATGCGATTGTAGAATTATGCAAATTGTAATAATTTGCAAGTTAACCAACCGTTTATCCACGAATACAATTTTGAATTTGTTTTTTCTTCTATTTTCCATCTTTTTTCTTCTTGCCTTGGAAATGCTCCACCTTCACATCGCTAGACAAATAAAGAACAACTGTTGTCGAGTGCAACATAAATAAAAAACAACACAGCTAACCAAAATTACACGCAACTTGCCGACAACCATCGCACGGACCAACAACACTCAAAATCGACAACGCCACGCTAACTTCTGGTACAAGTTTTAAACTCAAGTTGAAAAAAAAACGAACAACGACGCAACGTCGTTGTTGCAGCAGCTGCTCTGGTTATATGAACATCAAGGAAATCCAATTTGCCTTTTGTGGCGAATGACAACAGTCTATCCCTGTTTTTGCCCGTAAACGGCTCTTGGACCAACAGTAGTTTTTGTTTTCTACCACAACCACCACCCAATCCACCATCGGAGGAGGAGGAGGAGGAGAAGCAGAGGCATCCTTTTCAGATCATATCAGTCATTTGGCGGAGAACGTGTCGCAACGTAAACAAGTGGGTGTGGTGGCGTTTTGCAGGAAGAAAATTACAAAAATTCCGCAATTTCGGAATATGTTGAAGCCTAAACGACAAGCCAAACAGAAACCTAAAGCAAAACCGGTAAGCTTGTGAACCCAACAGCGTCCAGTACCCATCCCTTCCCAACTATCCAATTTTATCCTGTCCGTGTTCTCCGTTTTGAGTTGTTCACATTTTAGTTTTGCAATACCCACACCATTCCCACGGTCCTTGACATTTTCGACAAGAGATTATAATACAATTTCATTTCCTTAAAATGCTACAAGTATATCCTTAATATCCTTCCTGTTGAAAAGCTTACTTTGTTTTATTTCGGTTTTATTTTTTCTTACCTTTATCCGCCCTCTATTCTATTTGTATTTAATCTTTCTTATCCATTTCTCTTTTCCCCCCTTTTACTTCCGTTCTTTAGTTCCTATCTCTTCTTCTATACTCCAACCGTACATAGTAGATTTAATGCCTTCAAAAGAAACTTACATACCTACTACATACTTATATATTCGTAAATGTCTTTAATAGTAAACTTGAGAGATGTATTTGAGTGTGTGTGCGTGTCGCCTGTCTGTGTCGCCTGTGAGTGAGTGGGTGACACAGACAGGCAGACAGACAGACACATAGACCAAAATGGAAAGCATCTCAAAAAGTTATTCTTTTTTTCGTTTTCCTATTTTTTTTTCTTTCCATGTGCAACTTGACTAACTGCCAATTCGCTTTTATTTTACTGATGTAGTTTTATTAGCGTCATTATTATTGTATTGAAGTATATTCTTAGCGTATCGTCGTATCTAACGCATCAACTGCGTACTTTTAGTTAATTTCAATTTGTATCGATTTCTATGTCAGTCGTATTCTTAGTTTATCTATTATCTATGTATTTTTGTATGAATGTATGTAGTGTCTGAGTCATTCAAGCGATGACGAACGAAAAAAAAAAGAAAAACACAAGAAAATGTTGATTTGCGAATTAATTAATTGTTGCTTATTTATATGTGTTTTAAGAGAACTTTTACTATATAATATAGGACCTGTTTTGAATATTAAATGTCGAGGATAATGCGAATTAAGGACTGCCAAATGAATTGACAGAGTTCTTTTCTTTTACTTTATTGAGGAAGTATGTCTTGTATTTTTTAAGTTCTTTTTACAATAAGTGTTAAACAGAGTTTAAGTCGGAGTCTGAGTTGAAAAAGAAAAATAAATTGTCCCCGACTTCATTTTTTATTCTCTACATATCTCGATTAATTCTGTTAGCAATTTATTTCGTTAACTCAATTGCAATGCTCCTTGGTAGTTTAACCAGTCTTTGTGACAAAGGAGGAAGAGGTAGAGACTATTCCATTTAGGTACTTTGTAAAAAGATCAGGAAACCATAAAGAGTTCTTCATGTTTCCAAATTTGTTGCCTTCGCTTGGAAGGCTCACTAAAAATATGCCGGTACCTCATTGGACCCCATATAATATGAGCCACAACAGGATTGACTGAGGAAATATGATCTCAAAGATAGGCTGCACAAGCTGCCTTCGAATTTCGAAGGTTTAACCTACGGTGATTCTGTCCTTTGGAGTTCTTAATATACCAAGTCTTTTCATCCTCAAAATTAATTTTCCAACTCAGACTTTTACCCCCACATAAAACAATAAACTTATATAGGTGGAAATTTATTAAATTTATCATTTTCGCATATGTTCACGATTTTATAGTTCAAAAGAGAGAATCCTAATCGGAGTATATGATTCGAGTAACTTAGGAAAGTATTTAGAAACCTCCCTTACTTTTACTGAAACCCAATTGACAGCATTAAGAACACTTTGCAAACACCATTTCAAATTTGATTCCCATTTAAAACATCAATATTTTAGCTGGAGCCGAACACAATGACTTAATGCTTTTTTTTGTTTTTGAAGGTCTAATACATTTTGCAACCTATGTGTTTGTAATATTACAGTTTGAAAAAACCTTTAGTGTAGGCCCAGGATTTGGTATTACCATTTTATTTAGCTCTAATTTATATACCCATTTTTAATTTTAAGGGATATTTATCACTGAATATGGAACTTTGAACCTTGTAATGCTCATTTTCGCCTTTGACTAAAAACAGTTTTACTCTGCAGAAGATTCTGCAGCCGGGTCATCAGTTCCCCATTTGATCTCAATTAGTTGCCCACTGCCAAAGGATTCTTGTTACTTTACTTGGTTTGGCTTTCGATTGTGCTGCTTTAAATTATATCACTGTGAAACACAAAAATAATTACGGGGAAAATCCAGCAGATTATAGAAGAGCTAAAATTGCAGATAAAAATGCATGGAATTTTTGTCGATAAAGGGGTATTTTTTGAAATATGTCTATAAACTCCCTTTAAACTGGATCGTAGCAAGTCATAATATTCTACACAATTTTTGTCATAAAATTCTATCATAGGTTCTAGTAGACGTCAAGACGTCTTTGTGTGCGTCTGTGCAAAAATCTCCAACAAAGCATTATTTTAGAAGGATGACGTCAAAGACAAAAAATATTTCATCAATTTTAATATAAGCCACCAAAGAAAAAAATATCTCTATTTCCACATCAAGAAAATATTTGCATCAAAACAAACCGAAAAACTTCCCTAATTTCAATTTAGGCGGAAAGTGTCACAAAAATTTCACTTTAAATCTCAGATAGTTAAAATCCACAATTTTGTATTAAATGTACTGTACTGTACTTCAGTTCTTGCGAAAAGTGTGGAGTAAGAATTATTCTAGATCAAGTACTGGTCTACATAATATGACCATAAACAATAACATAAATTGTTGTTAATAAATTACATTGTTTATTTCTGAAAATTTTTTGAGTATTTTTCTGCAAATGTTCTTATAATTCCTATCTGGGGTGTGGAAAATAGTACTCGTTTATAGATCAAAACCCCCCATCCTCTTCTTCATGCACGGAAGTTTTTAAACAAAAAGACCAGTTAATTAACTCGATTGGGGGTTAAACTATTCTTCTGATTTTTATCTGCAATATTGCCGAAAACACCATATGACTAGAATGTACGGATTCCGAGGAATCTTAGTCCGAAAATTGCAAAAAATGTTGAAGAGGGGGAATTTGACCCCTCTATTTATGTTACTTTTCCAAGTAAACTTTCAAAGCACCGATGCACGTATCTCCTTTTCATAGCTCTTCTTTCATAATTTGCTCCCCCGTAATTAATAAAAAAAGGATTTTAACATTTTTTATCGTCGTTTGTAATGAGTGATGGGACAGGTTCATGGATTTAAATATGCCACTCTGATTTCCAACCTTATTGTATTCCGGGCCTCACTTTAACCACCGTCTTAGTGACCTCATTCATACTGTGAATAAAGATTTATTTACTTGTGTCGGTCTGGACCAGAAATGGACATCTACCAACTTTAAGGTTTTGAAGTTTTTTCTTAGTTTTTAGAAATCATCATCAACTTCTAAATATTATTTTATTTACATAAATGTCAGTTTATATTGATGTTCCAAAAATTAATTTAATACTTAGAACATTATAAGTGTAGTTATCCCTCAAATGATCACATTTTAATATTTCTCGGCACAGGCTAGGCTAAAGATTAAACTTCTCCTGAGATTCCTAGCCTTCTTCTCTTTTAATATGCCTGTTAGCTGGGTGCTTGAAAAAATACCCCTGCCAATAAATGCAAGGGCAACACAGCTGAAGATATTAACAATTTATACAATATATACATTTTTTATTTTCTAAAATAAAATTTCTATGGCCGGAAATAGATTATGGAAGCTTATGTCATGTTTCACACTGTAAGAAAAACAATGAAATTATCTACTCAATTACACCAAAAAATTACAAATATATACCATAAAATCGTACATAGAGTTATTTAAAAAAATGTAATTGTAGCAAGCATGAGAGGAATAATTGTCTATTGTTCGCATTCATTGTTTTCGATCGTAAAAATATACGTCCTTAGTAATTGTATTATATTTTACTCATTTATGTGCGTATTAGTATTTCTGTATATATTTATGTATCATAGTAGATAATATGTATGTAATATACTTTGATGAAAATACAAAATGCAATTAGATACATAAAGAGTTATTGTGCTTTTGTGTCTAAGTAGTAAATCAAATGTGTTGGCTTAGAAAAAATGTGCTTTGAAGATTGCTTAAATATATGGTAATTGAATGTGATGGTATAGTGCAAAAATAGCATTTAAATTGCGTGAAATTGCAGGATACGTGATGGTATCCTTCAAACATCGCCAGAAGTCATATCAAATAGTTTTATGGTTGGACAAATCAGTAATCATGTAAATTTTAGTATTAATTAAAAACAATTTAATCTTACCTACGAGGTTTTTGGGGAAATAGGGTTTAAAATGATTACCACTTTATAACAACAAACCAACTATAACTTTCCCATAATTTCTTATATTTATATCAGTCTGAACAAGAGGTCTCATGCTTTGTCTTAGTAAACATAATATTTTCTCCACGAAATAAAATTAAGATAAGGGTGTTTTTGATAGCGCCTAGAAGTAGGCTTTGAATTTTTGAACATATTTACCGACGACTCTAGTAAAATTAGTTGTGTGATATATTATTAATTTGCAAATATTAAATACTTTTTCGTCTATTAAAGATGAATGTTGAATGAATTTGATGAAGATTTGTTTACTGATTTCTGATTGTGGTCATATTTATTGAAATCAAATTTAAAGCTAAAAAGAAAAAAATATTAAATAAACAAAAAGTTTAGTCCGCTTCAAAATTTAAAATAAATAATTTTAAATAATGGACATCCTGTATTATGTAATGCACTAATAACTAATAACAATAATTAAATATTTAAAATTAAAATTGAATAAATATTAAATATTTAAGAGTTGGGTACACATATTTATAATTTTTTTATATAATTTACTACGCAGTTATATGTTATATAAACAGTATTAGAAAAAAATAATTCCATTAAATCTTCTTAGCATTTCTGAAAATTAAACCTTTTTCTTTTAAATATTGCCAGGCATATGGTGGCAGAGTGTTATGCAAAGTTTAGCCGTAGCATAGGATCGTTGCAAAGATCTCTCAA